CCAACTCGCGTCGCACACCTGAAAATGGTGGGTGAGTCTCCCAGCGGGGCTACTACGTGCACAAGGTCTCGAACTTGAGACCTTGCTTAAATTGGAACAAGCTGTTGGAGATTTTAATTTAAAAAAAAAAAGTCTCGAACTTGAGACCTTGCTTAAGTTGGAACAAGCTGTTGGAGATTTTAATTTAAAAAAAAAAAATTGCAAACCGTTTTGCAACTCCAATCGGTTACAAATCCATTGCTTTCAAAAAACTTAAATCTATCAAGTAACTCATCAGTTACAAGCTTATATTTTAATGAAGGAATCAAATGGTAACAGCCATGCGTTTTGTCTTATTGAAAGGGGTATGCGTTTTTGCTTTTTAATGTTTTAAAGCAATAAACTTCAGTTACATTTGGGAAAGCCTATAAATAGGCAGCCTCCATTTCTACCAAAAAGATTTGATACAATTTTATAACCTGCACTCTTATTTCACAAACACAATATACAAACTCTCTTTAGGCAAGAAAAAGGTGGTGGGGTAGAGCTTTCTTTACAAGAGTGCAGTACTTGTAAAGATACAACAAGAAGGTTGGGCTGTTGTATCCTGAGGGCGGTGTGACCATAAAAATCTACTGCATCAGTGACACGAAACGTCTTAAAGAGAGTGATTGATCTACGCCTCAGCTCAAGCTCCTCATACTTTTGGTGACATCTTTTTACTTTTCATTTTCATCTTTAATTAATTGGTTTTTGCTAATCTTCTGTCTATTTTTTTTTCTTCTATTTATTTTACGAGAAACAACACAAACCGCTTACCACTTGATTCAACCCCTCGTTGGTAAAAAAATGTTTTTGTGTAATCTTAATATCTTTAGTGTGTGTCCTTAACCACTTCCAAAAAAACAGTAGCATTTCATTTGCATTGCCTTTTGCATTTGCATTTCACATGATCATCATCTTCATAGATTGCTGTTTCATTTTTCTTTCATCAAATGACCATAATGTAGCCAACTTACTGCGTTTTTCTGCTGTCAATAGACAACCATTTTAGTGTCTCGTACACTTCAATTAGCGGAACTCTCATTGCAACTTCAATTTATCTTTTGTGCAAGTTTGAATATCACAGTTCTAACAATATTTCCAACAGGAAGGGGCCACTGCAGTTCACATCTTGGGAAAAAAAAAAGAAAAAAGAAAGCATCTTTAGAAGACTTTGAAAATGGCATCGTGGACTTGAATCACGTTGGAAAATTGTTTAACGTTCAGTTCACGTCTTGAGTTCATAATTTAGAAATATGTACACCGTTAAGGAAGGCAAACCTATGATTATTATTATTTTTTTGTACATTGGAGGGTAAGAAAACCTGCTATTATTGTTTATTTGTATGTTCTGAAATTTATGCTCATTCTTTCTTACTACAGACCCCTTCCTAGGACAACTAGACTTTGCTGTACATATATATGTACACACACTGTCTTCGCACATAATAAAATATAATGATAATTACAGTTCTTGCATACAATTGCTATACACACATATCCGCTCCTAAACCTTTTTCTCAAGAAGAATTTTCCAAATACCAAACACAACCCATGGTGTTTTGTAATTCTAACAGTTACCTAGGTCTTTAAGTCTAACTTCTCTTCTTATTAGCTCAATCAACACTACTAAGGATACCTAGCTTTGAATCCACTTCTTCTAGATCTCTATCATCTCATTAATTTCTGTGTTTTTCTCAGAGACTTGTGAAATGAGCATTGTTATCAAAACCTCAGTTGCTGATTTTCTTTTCTTGTTCTTTCTGGTTGTTTTGTCTTGCTGTGTTGGTCATTGCTCATGTGTAATTGAAGCGATCTGCCAAGGAGACTCAATTAGGGATGATACAAAAGAAACCCTGATTTCTGATGATGGGAATTTTCAATTGGGGTTTTTCAGCCCAGGAAATTCTACATTAAGATATGTGGGCATATGGTATCATCCCGAATCTACGGGAGGCGAAAAAGTAATGGTGTGGGTAGCAAATAGAGATGCTCCAATCTCTGATAGAAATGGAGTTTTGAGGATTGGAAATGATGGTAATTTAGTGATTTCAGATGGTAATAACACCACTGTTTGGAATTCAAGTGCCGAGGTTCCACCAAATAACACAGTAGCATTTCTCTTGTCCACAGGGAATTTAGTTCTGTCAAATAATTATTCTCCGTTAGGCGAAGATTGCGGTCGTTCGTATAACGGTCGTTCGTATAACGGTGAAAGCCATCATTGGCAGAGCTTCGATAATCCTTCAGATACGTATCTTATGGGCATGAGATTTCCGGTACGGACTGGCAGTGGAGAAAATCATACCATTATTAGTTCGTGGAAATCTGCAAATGATCCCTCCCCAGGAAACTTCAGTATTGGAATTGATCCTGATGGAGAACAGATTGTGATATGAAATCAAACCCGAAGGATGTGGAGAAGTGGGTATTGGGATGGATCGATATTTACTGGTGTCCCCAATATAACGGATAGTTTTTTAGATGGTTTTAGTTTTGCTTCGTTTGATGAAAATGGGACCATTTATTTGACTTATACTCCTTCAAAGGATACTGCATGGAGCATGATTCGAATAGGGTGGGATGGGAAGTGGGAGCAATGGAAGCAGGATGATGACATAATCCGTTCGACTGTGTTGAAATCAGAGCCTGCCAATGATAGTGAATTTTACAACTTTTGTGGAAATTCTGGGGTCTATGATGTCTCCAAATCTCCCAAGTGCAGCTGCCTACCAGGGTTTGAACCCAATAATGCAGAGGAATGGAACAGAGGAATTTGGACAAATGGATGTGCTAGAAGAACAGAACTGCAGTGCAGTAGAACACCTAGCAGCAGTGAAGTAGGGAAGGAAGATGGGTTTTTGAAACTGAAGATGATGAAATTGCCAGACTTCTTTAACAAGCAGTCCGTGAACTCCGAAGATGAATGCAGATCCTGGTGCCTGAACAACTGCTCCTGTATTGCTTACGCATATGATGGATTTATAGGATGTATGTCATGTTTGCATAAAAACTTGACTGATACTGCGAAGTTCTCGAGTGGCGGGAAAGAACTTTATATTAAACTGGCATACTCTGAATTTGGTACGTACTTTTTATAGTTCTAAGTTAGACAACCATGTTATAAGTGGAAACTGTGAAAATTAATTTCAGAAATATAAACATATTTTTATTTGATTGTTTTTGATTTGCAGATAAAGAGGAGAAGGAAAAACTAATAATTATAATTACAGCTATAAGCATAGGAACAATTTACATCTTCTGCACATTTTTCTTATGGAGGCATATGGATATATATAAAAGAAGAGGTAATATATACATACATCTTCATCTCTTTTAGCAATTTGCACTACACGACTCATGACTAGGTAACTGTTAATGTAACATTTACTCCGTATTTATTCAGCAAGGGACGAAAACATAGAAGACATAGTGTTGTTTGATAGAGGGAAGACCAGCACAAGCAAGGTTGAACTCCAAGAGGCACCATTATTCAAATTTGTGGAACTAACAACCGCAACAAACAACTTTAATACAGCATATCTGCTAGGACAGGGAGGTTTTGGTTCGGTATACAGGGTAAATGTTGGTTTCCAGCTGCATAGTTTTAATCTGAAATCTTTGCTAACCTGTTCTTTCTGGTGTAGGGAACGTTGCACAATGGGCAGGAAATAGCAGTAAAGAGGCTGGAGGTGGCAGGAAGATCAGGCCAAGGTTTAGAGGAGTTTAAAAATGAGATTATCTTGATTGCTAAACTGCAACACCGAAATCTTGTTAGATTATTAGGCTGCTGCA